GGTGGGTAAGAACCTTACTTCTTGCATCTGAAGAAGTGAGGTTCTTACCCACCAAAGCTTATGCTCCCAATACTTCTGTTAGTCTTAAAGGTGCCACAGGACCCTCTGTTGCTTGTTAAGTGGGGACAATATACATTGTCTCTCCTGATAGGGAGTTGACAGTATCCATTGTCTCAAAGACAGTAACTCCTTTGAAATGCAAGAATTTAGAGTGAGAGATTGCTTTGAAGTTTCATTAGCTCCCTTTTGCTTAAGCCCCAGATGGCAGACCTAACAGTTTTGATTGACACCTGTATTGTGACTGCATGTAGTGATTCTGCATTACAGTCACATGGTCATCGCAAAGGCTATAGTGTGTTTGAATAGAGTTAAAAACATCTTCCCATAGACATTTGGGAGATGGCTGAAGAGCAGTAATGGAGAAAGTGACTGGTCAGAGAGTGGCATTGAACTTAGAGGAGTTTGCTGGAGATAGAAAGGGCCATGTTACACATGTGAATTAGAGAGCTAGCCCCTCAAATCAGTTTAGCTTCATTATTTATGCCAGTTTACTCCGGCTGAGGATTTTGCCCATCAGCTGTATTTTGCTTTTGTCATCTAGTATCCCTGTTCATGAGTATGCACAACTAAATGAGCCTACATAATATCCTGCCTGGGTCAAGTCATTGCTCTCCCACACAGGAAAACTAGATTCGCAGCTAATCAAATAATGGGGAACTAATTCTGCAAAAAAATGCAATTTGTTTCCATTTTGTAGGATTCAAATCAGAGCTTTCTTTCTTTCTTTCTTTGAATTTTGATTTTAATAATTTTGAATTTGCATATTTTTTCCCTTCTCCACCGCCCCATTTTTTGGCTATTGAATGCTATAAAAAATGATGCCCCAGGATTCTTCCACTGTTACATTTTTTTCTTTTTTCTTTTGCTACATTGAACCCTTTTCCAACTTTGGAAAAATTACAAAATGACAAAAGAAAAATGAAAAAGTAAAGTAAAAGCAAACATATCCCAGACATAATTCATTCTGCTGCACACAGTGGAACAAACAAGAAAACTGAATATCTGACATTTTTAATTTCTTAATTTTAATATTTTCAGTTTCATTTCCAGTATAACTTGAAAAAAAAAAAGGGAGACGACTCCTTGAAGGTGCTTGGTTTTGAAAAATGGAAAAGTTTGATTAAAAAAAAAAAGGTTTGAACATACAATTTCAGAGAGTTCTAGAAATAACTATCCAGGTGTCCTAAGCACTTTGAAATGGTATCATTCAGTAAAGAACTTAACGGTTAAAAAAAAAATTGCAAGCATGTGTTTCTTTGTGGGCAGTTTACTTACTGTGTTTCTACTACAGTGATATGAATGGACTTGATACTTTAATATTTTGTATATTACTCTTAGAGCCAGATCTTTCGTGCAACGCCCAACCTCCCACTGATGGGTCTTTGGCTTGTGGAATGTTATCTTATCCTGGCAGTGGAATGAACAAATGGCAGTTTTGTGTACCATTCTGCATGAAGAGCACTGGTTTCCATCGGAGAGCATGGTCAGTGTTTTTCTGCCAGTCTTCTCAGTCTGGGACAAGTTGGTTTCATTTGGATGAAGCCTGGCAAATGACAAAAGCTCACATGCCAGAGACTTGCACAGGTGAGCAGGCTTGAAAATTTCAGTGGATTAGCTTTCTTAAAGACTCTTGCTGACTGAAAGTTTATTGATTTACACGTTCAGCTGCTATTAGAGTTTAAGTCATGTTTGTATAAGACAACAGGAAGATATGGATTCCAATTATGATATGAATTGAGAAAAGAATGTTTTGTTTCTCCATCTTCAACTAGAGTGTGTTGGTTCTCAGGGCAACATTCTGATGTCAGTTACAGAGGAGTGCAGTGGAGTAACAGTGGTGTAAGTCTAGACTAACTAAGAGCAGAAGTTGACCTGAGAATTTATCCACTTTGCTTCTCCTGCAAAGTCTGATCATTATTAAGTGTGTGTGTCTGCATATTGGGTTTTCTTTCTTTTTTGACAGCCTTCCTAAGAGGCTTGAAAATAAACTCTCTCACTACACATTTTGTCTGTTTCCTTTTAGCAAATCTTTACTTCTCCTTCCCGCCCCATGTTTCTAATAACACAAGCCATTATGGTTTAGTATTGCTTATTACCATGATTATTCACTAGCATCATGTATAGTTTCAGGAGTTGAACAGTCAAAAATAGTGTGTGTAGGTCCTACAAAATATAGTTATTTTTGTTGGTTATGGAGAACAGGTATTCTAGAATTTGAAGGCAATTTCTCAGGATATTAATATTTTTAAGGTAGGACAACTGTCTGGCTAATACTAAATTATTGAATAAAGATCCTTTAACTCTTGACTTAGAGGTCTTCCAAAATACTTCCTGAGACTTGCAAGCCTAATGCTATTCTCTCACCTCCCAATCACTACAGAAGGAAGAAGTACCCCAGTGCTTGTCTATGCTTGGAAATTTACCAAAATAGCCATTCTGGAATAATTATTTAAAATTTTAATTTATAATTCCTAAATGGATTAAGTTAAATCAGGAAAGGGCAGTTTTATTCCAGAATAAGAGTGTTCACTTGTGGAGTTGTACTGAAATAGCTATTTTGGTAAATTTCCCAGTGTCGACAAGCCCTTACTGATAAGTACTCTACTATCCATTTTTATTGGATACTTTTCAAATAGAAATTGAAAGAGAAACATAATTTCTTAACCAGATCCAAGAAGGACTCCAAGGAGGCACGAGAACCACATATTTAAGGAAACAGGGCCAGATGGAATAGCACCATAGAGTGCTGACTGCATTAGCTTCTGCAAAGGATGCAGCTCAGTCCCATACCGTCTCTGCTCTAACTGGAAACATTTCAGGAAATAAACTTTCCAAGGGTGGTGTCATAACTACTTAACCTGGGTTCTCCAGCGGACCTGCCTGAGGCACAATGCATTCTGGAACTCTTGCTTGACTGGTGCAGCTCTGTACTACCCCCAGGAGAGGCTTTCGTGGCTTTGGGGATCAAACTGAGGTATCTCGTTGGGGATTGGCGACATCACAGGCAGTTAATCTAATCTGCAGATGGATTAATTTTGAATATCAAAACATAGTTTTATCAATTGAATGGGGCGTATAGATGGAGACAGGATCTAACAGAGGTATCCCCAGTCATCTGTCTATGGTAAGCAATTGCAGATGACACAGAAAGCATGGCCAGTTTCTTTCTGAAAGCTCTAACCAAAGTGTGTAGCAAGATCTTTTTTTGCATAGAGCAAACACTGAAAGTTTGTGATGTGTTACAGAAGTGGCAGTGTGTCACTCAGGTTGTAAATTTGTTACTGTCAGGTTGTATGTGATAAACTGAAAACATGACAAATAGCTATTTTTTTATTTGAGCTAGAGTCTTACACATGAAACCAAAATGACATTTTTACCCCTCATTCAAGTATTGAGCTGTATATTTATGCTTTTGATATATCCCTCATGCTGCTTTGTGTTGTGGCCTTGTGTTCAAGAGAAAAATTGGTAATGTGATACATTTGTGCTTGCCAGGACTCTAACTCTCTATTATATGAAAACTGTTTAGCACTTTTGTGCATCATGGCACCATTTTGGGCATATCCTTATTAACTAACCTCATGTTATATGAACTATTAACAGTCAGGCGTCGAACAGGGTCCAGAAAAGGAGATTCACTACAGTACTATGAGGGTGACTGCAATGAACAGGCCGTGAAAAAACACATCCTAGCAACTGTGGAACACATTGTAGCCAAAGATCCCTCTGTTGTTTCTCAGTGCACCAGGCACCGAAACACCTGTGGCAATTTCAGAATTTCAGATCTTTCTGTTCACTGTGGGCCTGGAAACAACCAAAGAGGTAACAATGTTCTTTTCAGAACATTGTTAATGTCACTGTGATGGGGTGGACAGTATTTTTTCTCCTACATGTTTTTTAATACGCTCCATAGTGTCTTCTCTCCCTCTGTGATAATTCATATTATGCAGTCATTTGCAATCAGCCGCAGCATAACATAATCTTAAAGGCATACATATTTCATGCTCTAATTTATCAGTAATGTGCACCATTAGCTCCCATCATTCTTGATGGGAGCTGGACATGCTTTTCTAGTTGCTTTGAACTACATCTCCTTAAGTCATCAAAATCATATATTTTAAAATATAACAGATGTATTGTAATGTACTCAACATGGGCTTTCAGAAAGTACTTCAGGTAAGCATGAGTTTACAGAAGTATGTAATGTGTCAAACAAAGTCCAATGCATCTCACAGAAGCTATGTGGAAATTATGAAGGATAGACAGCTGTAAGATCAGCTTGTCAACTTTTACTTGAATCCAAAATGTATTAGCTGAAATATATGATTCTACAGAGGTCCTCAGGAGTGGGATGAATGAAAATGAGTACAGAATAAAGGTAGTCAAAGGGATCTGCCATACAAGTACTTCTGTAGGTGACGTTCGTTTGGGAACATGATGGCAAGGAGCCTTTTCTCTCATTTTGTGGGTTGGGTAGAAGCAAGGTGGACAAACATCAAAAAGTTCTTTGTTTCATTGTAATTCAACCTCTTTGCTCTGGACTTTTGCTGTTAATTTTTGATGCTGTTCATTTTAGTTGCAGTTCAGAGCAAAACGCTGATAGGATAGACCCTCTCATGACGTTTTATTATTTGCTACTTGCAGCTGAAGCCAAAAACTAGGCTCTGACCAGGGTCCTGGGGGTGGGGGCCACACTGAGATTGTTCAATCAGGACAAACTGCAAAGAATGGGGCAGACGATCCCCAAAACTGGAGGTTATTTCTAATAATTAGATTCAGCAAGCCAGCAACAAAACAGCTTCTACAATACCTTACTGGTTACCCAGAAGCCAAAAGCACAGTTCCCTTAAAACAACACAGCCTTGGGTTTCTACCCAGACAGCCAAGTCAAATATGAGGAGGATTACTGAAAATCTTGTTCATCATATAAAAAGTTCTACCTATCCCAAAGGATCAGACGCATTACCCATGAGGTCACTGATTATTTCAGATGTTACCCAAATACACGCTTACAGCCAATTCTTATTAACTAAACTAAAATTTATTAAAAAAGAAAAGACAGTATTTGTTAAAAGGTCATTATACATACAGATATGAATAAAGTCCTTAGGTCAGTTTCATTGTAGAGATGGTGAGCTTCAGAGTTGCAAAAGGTTCTTTCAGAATCAGTTCCGTAGATCACAGTCCAATGTCCAATATCAGGGTGACCCAGGCTGGATCTGGGGATCTCAGTCTTGTGACTCAAACTTCCCCTGATGAAGCTTAAACAGATCTGACATGCAGGATCAAGGTCCAAGAGTTCTTTTTATAAATCCCTGGCAGGCTATTGTCAGCCTCTTGACAGCAGGTGATCCTTGGGTGAAGAATAGTGGCTTTGAAGTAACCTCCTATTTCCTAAGCATCACCCGTAATTAGCTATAGGGATTAGCATAAGGCAACTGCCCATCTCCCACCATTTACAGGTAGTATACTACATACTTCAAAGAGAAATGAAGACAATGTTATTACTACACTCACAGTTCATCTAAATGTTAGCATCTCCTTTTGATCTCTGAATTGACAGAATACAGCGACATACAGGAACCGTTTGGTTACATTGTCAACCTCTAACAATATATGTGTAAACACACAAAAAACCACAACTATTATCTACTAATATGTCTCTGAAGGTTGAATCTGGGTCAATTAGCCTGCTAGTTGTGTAATTGTTTCTGTGTTACCCTGTGTCACATAGGCCTAGCAAATTTATTTAACAATATATATATATATATTG